AGGCGGGCCGAGTGAGCCTGTGGGTTCTCCTCGCCCTGCTGCTGTGGTGCCTCTACAATGCAAAGTGGACGATCGCTCATGCAGGCAAAAGGGCGAGGGCCAAGCCTGCCCTCACCGCCCGCCTGAGGACGGTCCTTGTTGAGGCGTCCAGCGGCGGCAGGGCCATCACTGCCCGCGAGGCACGCTTGCGCGACGCCGTGCAGGCTCTTGTCGACGGCGAAACGCTGCCCTCGCCACGCACATCACACGCAGAGGGATCGGCCACGGCTGCATTGGCTGCAGCAGAGTTGTTGGCAACCGTGGATATGCCGCCGCCGTCGTCGTCGTCGTCGCCGCCGCCGCCGCCGCCGCCGCCGCCGCCGCCGCCGCCGCCGCCTCCGTCGCCGCCGCCTCCTCCGCCACGGCAGCAATCCGGCGGCAATGGCACGAGGTCAAGCAACCCGCCGCGGCGGCAACCGAGTCCCGTTGGAAGTGGCGCACGGCACTTGGATCGTGAGGGCGGCCGACGCGGGCAGAGCGCGCAGGCTGAGACTATCGAGAGGAATGGGTCGGAGCGTCCAAATGGCGGGGTGGAGCTGCGCCTGAGCGAGGACTTTGACCTCTCCCTCGAGCTCCAGCGCGAGGGCTTTGCCGTCACACCCGAACGGCGGATCGAGCTGCAGATGGAGCGGCTGCGCTCGCGCCCCGTTTTTGGCATCCTCGAGAACAAGCTCCTCACTCACTCGCTGCTGCGCCACCTCGGCGCGCCCACGCAAGAGGTGGCCGCCACCTGCGCCCACGCCGCAAATAAAACCCACCGCCGTGCACAATGGCGCGTCCGCTGCCCACCACGCGCAACCGCCCTCGCCACCAGATTGCCTACGGAGCCCTCGCCAGCGCGAGGCTGGGTGAGTGGCCAGCCTACTCGGCGGCGCAGCTGCGGGCGGCGCTGGGAAAGGCCCACGGTTGGCGTCGCGGCGCCGTGCTAAAGCCGGCCACGGACGGCGGAAACGTCGGCACAATCCTCCTCTCCGGCTTTGGGGCGCTCGAAAACGGGTCGCTCCAGTACCGCGTCGACCGGCACGACGGGCAGCGCTGGCGGCGGCTGCGCTGGTCGACGGAGGCGGCCCTCTCGCACGCCGCGCAGCACCTCGGCGCGAGCGCGCCGGCGGGGCGATGGGCGCAGAGCTACATGCACCGGGGAATGCTGCTGCAGGCCCGCTACGATTGCGCGCGGGGCGAGTGCAAGCCCGGCGAGCTGAGGCGGCAGCACGGCCTCTCGTGCGGCGGCCGCGGCACTGGGTGCATCCTCGAGGTCAAAGCGCACGTCGTCTTTGGGCGCCTCTCCTGCATCATCGTCGAGCAGGTGCCCGTCGCTTTCAACGTGTCGCTCTATGCCACCGTGAGCGACACCGGCGTCGTCGATTGCGCCGAGAGCGACGGCGCCATCGCAGAGGCGAGGGGTGCCGAGAACGGCGCGCACGTCCTCCCCCCCCCTCTGGGCTCTCGGGCTTGACCAGAACACACGGCTTGCAACCTCAACATCGCCTCTTTTGCGCGCGCAGGCGCGACTCCATTCTCCTGCCTCCACTTTGCGCGCATCGTGCAGCCGCAGCTGCCGGCGCTCGCCGAGCTGGCCCAAAGGCTCGCCTCGGTGTACCTGGCCGACTGGTTCCGTCTCGACGTCTTTGTGGGCCACCCGCGGCTGGGGATGCGGGTCAACGAGGTGACCTACCCCTCGCACGTGCGCGATACGTGTGCGTTGCGCCACTGGCTGCGGCAGTACCGCACGCTGCGCCTGCGCCCCACCTCGGGGCGCGACATTCTCGCGAGGCTACAGCGAATACTTGGCGTCGACAATGCGACTTTCATGCTAGGGGCCTCGGGGTGAGGGCGGGAGCTACTCGCGTAAGAGCTGTCAGTGTGTGTCACCACGCATATTTTTAAAGTATTGCGTGCCTTCTCACAACGGACAACTGTCCGTCATGACTCATGAGTCATGTGCCGGTGGGATCGATGTCGATGTGCGCGTCAAAGCTCTGAGAGTGGGATTGGTAGATAACTTAAAGATAAAGGAGATGATATGTCAGCCAATGCGTGTGTACGAGAGTGTGCACATGGTTGTACCTCGAGGCCGACATTTTTCACTATACTGCGGACCTGTGCTCACGATTTCTGCGGCTTGCGCGCCTTGCGCTGCGGCCCCGCGCCCGATCCCCAGGTGGCGCGCATCTGCTCCTCAGTGACGTGCGTGGTTGGGGTCGAGGCGCAGCGCCATCTCGCGCGCCTTGGACTCGTCGCCCGTCTTGTGCGGCCGTGTGTGTGTGGAGCGGTGAGCGTAGAGGGCGAGCTCTCGCGATCTGCTTCAGCCGGAGAGGCGGAGGGCGAGAGGGCGTGGCGGGGCGACGCGGGCGTCAGTGCTGGAAGGGCTCATCTGACGTCCTGCAGGGTCTCGCGCTTTCTTTTCCCCAGCGATTCTGTCTCTACCCCGCGCCTGCATGAGCCTGCGCGCCTCCTCCTACTGCCACATGTCCTCCATGAGCGCCGAGCTGCCCTTGCTCTCTCCCATCGCCTTTGCCATCAGCGCGGTCGTCGCCTCGGACCGCTTGGCGCGCTCCCTCGCGAGCTCCGCTTTGCGCGCCGCCTCGTCGTCGAACGTCGTCCGCTCGAACGTGGCGGCGGCGCTCGCCTGTGGACATGTCGTGGACATGTCGTGGACGTGTCGTGGACGCGTGTCGTGGACGTGTCGTGGACGTGTCGTGGACGTGTCATGGACGTGTCGTGGTCGTGTCGTGGACATGTCGTGGACGTGTCGTGGACGTGTCCGCTCGAACGTGGCGGCGGCGCCTGTGCGTCGGCGCCCTCGCGCGCCTTTCGCGCCTGCTCCTTGAGGTACCACGTGCGCGCAGGTTGTAGTACTTCTCGTCGGGCAGCGTCGCCGTGTTGTAGTCCTCCACGTACTCCTTGAGGTCGCGCTGCGAGCACGCCTGCAAGGGAGGCGCGTGGCGGCGGCTGTTGCACATGGCGGCTGCACATGGCTGCTGTGCATGGCTGCTGTGCATGGCGGCTGTCCATGGCGGCTGTCCATGGCGGCTGTCCTGTCATCGGTACGTGGGCGGCTGTGCATGGCTACTGCACATGGCTGTTGCACATGGTGGTGGTGGTGGTGGTGGTGGTGGTGGTGGTGACGATGACGATGATGACGCTGATGACGATGGTGATGATCATCATCGCGACGTCGTGCCGGATCGCGTCGGGTACAATGCACATGCTCTCAGCGCCTCCGACGACCGCTCCGCCCGACGGTGTGTGTGTGTGTTTGTGCGTCGGTGGAGAGGTGTATGCTACGAGTGGAGGGGCGTAGGCGCTCACGAGCAGCGTCGATGCACCTGCGAGGGAAGGGTCGGGGGAAGATATCCCGGGCAATCTCCCTCACTGATTGCAAGAGTGCTCTCTCTGATTGCAGCACTCGTCCGGGCCATCGAGAGTGCTCTCTCTGCTCGAGAGCGTCTTGGGAAGAGAAAGGGGGGCTCGGGGGGGAGGGGGGGTCAAGAGGGCCGCACCTACTCACAGCGGGCGCAGCTTGAGGCCCAGCACGCGAGAGGCCGCGGCGATCCCCTTCGCCCACGTTGTTTTGGATCTGCGAGCGCGCGGGCGACGGCTGGCGAGCGTCAGAACAAAATGGGATGCGCATGGTGCGGGTAAACCTTGATGTGCCGTCCAGGATGAGCACACGCTGACTGCGCATTCACAGCCTTGTTATTGAGAAGAAAATACGTCCATGGCGCTGTGCGCTGGTCTGTGTGAGAGGTTGAGGTGCGAGCCCTGGAGGCCCTGGGGATGGGGGGAGACTACCCGCGGGCCTAGAAGGCCCGCGCGCAGGGCGTGGGACATTGAGACCGGTCATGAATGAGTGCGCGACACGCATGTTGCGAGCAGCGTTGTTGATGTTCTGCGCGTCGCCACAGACGGCGGCGCGCGAGAGCTGTTGCGAGTGGTGCTGGGCGAAGCCCCGGGCGGGCGCTGCCGGAGGCTGTGCCGTAGTCGGTGCGGTCGACGGCGCTCGGGCTCCCGACCTCTTTGGCGAAGTTGAAGATGATTCTCTTGGTCGGCGGCGCGATGCCGCCCTGACTTTCGACGAGACAAATTTTGACGATTCCGTTCTTGGCACATGGAGCGCGTCGTAGTACTGTCCCTTGTGCTCTTTGACCCAGCCTTTGCCGGTCGCATGGACGAGCGGGCCCTTGTGACTTGTGGCCGCGCTCTTTGCACCCATTCACATCGAGCAAACCGTGGATCGTCAGCTCGACAAAAAATCAACTGGTAATCGTGGAGACTGCGGGAGAGCTGAGGGACGGCAAAGGAGCGCAAATCAAGATGGGCAAGTACAGCGAGCCGCTGCGATCGGGGAAGGGACGAGTGAATGTGAAAGTAGCGCAGACATGCCTCGCGCCCCCGGGGATGGGGGGGCTGCACGACTCACACCAGTTCACACACTTCGCGGGGCGACGGACGGGAAAGGACCGTGAAGAAAAGAGCCGACTCGGCCTTTGCGCAGACAACCCAAGGGAGGGATGGGAGGACGGCACGCCGCCACCACACAGGGATTTTAAGGAGAGGGGTGTGATGCGCTAGCCGTCGCCTAGGCCGTCGCCCACCCTTGGGCGTCCGCCTCTTCCTATCTCTCTTCGCAGTCTCTCGCCGATTCTCGCTGCAACCTTCATGCCACCTCGCGGTCGTCCCACTCTCGTCGTTCTCTCTCTTGTCGCTTCTTCCTCTGTCACGTCGCTCTCCTCTGCCTCGTTCTGCGACGGCGCCGCCGCCTGCCGCTCCCTTGCTCTCGCTGCTTCTCTCGCCTTTCGTCGCAGCTCTGCCCTCCTCGCGGCATATCCTGGCCCCTCGAGTCTATCGAGCTCTCCTCGCGCAAGGACGACTCTTCTGACGCCCACTCGGATCATTTGTCGCCAAGTCATATCGTTGTCAGGTCCACACTCTCTCTTCGAACACTTGTACCTCCACGGATGATGCTGGCGCTGGGGTCCCCTTCGGGTGCATCGTTACAGCTGACGACGGGATTGCTACTGGGTTTCGTCTTCCCCGGCTTCCTTCCGCTCGGCTCTACGCTCGGTACGTTCGGCGTGGCTCACCCTCCATGCCGTGAACAGGCGCTTATCCAAATGTCGCTCGCCTGTCCTTCCCCCCATTCTCATCTGGCAATCTCATCTTATTGTCCCATGGGTGTTTGAGGCTGGCCACAGCCACTTCGCTCCACAGCCGTCCCGCCCGCCACCCCTGCCGTGTGTGTGTGCGATCCCGGCCGGCCTCACCGTCTTTCGACATTGTTCGCACACCCACTCGTGCGCGCTCTGACACATGTGCCCGTACGTCCGTCGGTCCGCTATCTCCCTCTTCTCTGTGTTCTCCGCCGCCTCTCCTCGCACCGATCTATAGTAAGCAATCGCCTCCAGGAGCAAAGGTGCCGACCGAGTCGATTTCTCTTCTCAAGTCTCTGAGCGCTGGCCGCACAGACACATCACGCCGCACAAAACAGGCCTCGGCGTGGTCGGCTCTTCGCCAGCCATGGACAAATCCCTCGTCTCCAAGGCCACTGCCGACTCCGCCGAACCCACGCCGGGCTACATGTTCAACGAGATTGCGCGCATCACACACGCCTCTGTCGACGCGTGTCTGCAGCTGGAAAATTTCCTGCTCAAGCGCCTCAAGAAGGACTCTGTGCACGTCAAGCTCAAGGTGCTGCGCGTCATCAAGCACTGCTGTCAGCACGGCCACGCCACCTTCCGCCGCGAGATGCAGCGGCACACGACCGACATCAAGGAATGCCTGAGTGCGTGCTGCACCGCTTTCCCGCCCGCGAGACTGGCTGCGGGGGACGCGGGCGCGTTGAGCGAGGACCTCCGACGTCCTCATTTTCAGTGTATGTAGCTCTTACGAACATTTTAATGGCCGGTCCTGGCGCCGCGTCAAAATTCTTTTTGCCCGTCGGCCGGCAGTTTCCGCAATTGCTTGCACTTTCCGCAATGTCGAGGCTGCGGACGCTGTCCCGCTGCTCCGGCCGACTAGCGGCTCGGATCGCGGCTGGCGCTGCCGCCTCGGCGCTCGTGAACGCGCGCCGCAGCACGCTCGCCGAGTCGCCCTCCGTCTCCGTCCCCGGCGTCGACGAGCGGCTCCCGCCTCCTGCCAAGCTCGACGACCCCGAGTACAATGCGGCGGTGCTGGAGCGATGGCGCGAGCACGTGCGCCAGGCGCGCGAGGCGTGGCAGCGCAAGGACATGCCGGCGGCCGAGGCGCAGCTCAAGCAGGCGCTCGAGGCCGCGGGCCACTTTGGTGGCTCGTCGGCTCCGATGGCGACCTCGCTGCTCAACATGGCGCAGTTCTACCGGAGAGCGAACCGGCAGGCGGACGCGGAGCCGCTGCTGCTCCGCGCGGCCGACGTTCTCGACCAGACCGCCGGGCCGTACAACAAGGTGGCTCGATGCCGCGAACCCAGCGTCTGCTTGGGCGTGCCCTCTCCCCGACGGTGCCACGCCACTTGCCTGCAGGTGTGCGTTGCGCTGTCGACGCCCCGCGACGTGTCCCTACCAGCGCGACGATTGCCTTCCCGCCGCCCACGCATCCTCTCCTGTCCAGGTGACGGTCATTGCCCTGGTCGACCTCGCCAAGACGCAGCTCGAGCTTGGCAAGGCGGCTCCCTCCTCCCAGCACCCCGAGACGCCACAGCTCGCTCCACAGCTGCCGCTCACTCCCAACCGCTGCCGGTCTCTCCCACAGCCGGGGCTGCCTCCGCCGCCCCGCTCGCCGCGGCTCCCCTCACCACCGCTCTTCCCACGGCGCCGTCCTCGCGGCGGCCTCGCCGAGCAGCTTCCCGCCCATGTAGCTTGCCGCCGTTCACCGCCTGAGGGCGTCGCTCCCTCTTCCCAGGCGGCGAGCGCCGCCGACGGGTTCGAGGACGCGCTCGAGCGGATGCACCAGGCCAGCTCCCCACCGCCCTCCCCGCCACCGAGCCGCCCTCTCTCTCTCTCTCTCTCCCGCGGCGCACGCCGTGGACGGGTCGGTGGCACGTCCGTGACACGTCCGCTAGGCCATCTCCAGCTCGGAGGACGGCCACACAGCGCTGGTGCCGATGCGGCCTGCGGTGCTGCTCCTCGCGGCGCGCCACACCCGCCCGCCGCCGCTCTTGGGGCCTCTCGAGGCGCTTGCTTACTCCGGCCGTCCGCCCCTCCTCTAGGCTCGAGCGCAGCAAAAGATGGGCCAGGAGGGCGAGGCCGAGGCGAGGCCAAAGCCGTGCGGCGGAGCTTCGGTGCGGGCGGCGCCTTTCCACCCGTCCACCAGCACGGTCGTAGGCGCGGCTGCGGCTCGCGGTCGGCTTGCTGTCGGAGCAGTGGGGGCCCGAGTCGCCGCGGCTGATCGTGCCGTATGACGCGCTTGGCAAGCTGTACCGCTCGCAGCTGGGGCGCGAGGCAGAGGTGACCAGAGAGAGAGAGACGGGGAGAGAGGAAGAGCGGGAGGGAGAGAGGGGGGGAGGGGGAGGGAGTTGAATGTGCGTGAGAGGGCAGGCGGAGGTGCCAGAGCCGAGACGCACTCTCGCCACCGCCACCAGAAGAGACCTCCGAGCTTAGGGCTCATCTGCCGCCCACTCTCCGACGCACCCCCCCCCCCGCTCTCACCGGCCGCCCTCACTCCGCCACCCAGGCGAGCGACATGGAGGAGCGGGTCGGTTCTCTGCGCCGCATCCAGGCAGATTTCTCCTCCGGGGGCGGCGCAGCGCTGCGTCAGAAGCTCTCGGCGGGCGGCGCGGTGCTTTACGGAGCGGGCAAGTGCGCCGAGACGCGCAGGCCGCCGCGAGAGAGTAGCCGAGGTATAGCCGAGGTGTAGCCGAGGTATAGCCAGGCGTAGCCCAGACGCGAAGGCCGACGTGCAACGCGAGGCGAGGCGACGGACGGACGCGTCCCCGATGTCTCGCCGACCTTAGGCAGCTGATCGAGGCGCAGGGCCTCGAAGGGAGCTTCAAATACGTCGATTGCGCGGCCAACGCGCAGGTGGGCGAGTTTTGCAAGTCGCAGGGGGTCGACACGCACCCGACGTGGGTCATCCACGGGAGGAGGCTCAACGGCTTCCTGCCGAGGGAGGGGCTCGCGCAGGCGTGCGACCACCTTCTAGACCACGAGTAGGCCGGGCCGAGCCCGAGGCCGGGGTGAGGGTGCACGGAGACTCTGATATGTCGGGCGGCTCCCCCGTCCTTGCCCAGCCTTGCAGCTGGCGCGCGAGGGGGTCGTTTGTCGCTCTAACACAGGAATCGACGTATTTTGTTACTCTATATGGGATATCACGAATCGCTTCAGCCTCCGCGCTCTATCCGGTCACCAGTGTTCATTGAAACCGCAATAAAACCAGAAATATCCACGTGTGTGTGTGTGTGTCACTGCTCTCGTCACTGATGGTGTCTTCGGCCCCGCGCCTGCCGGCCCTGCGCCTGGAGGAAAGCGGCGTCAAAGTGGCGCGCCGCCACTCTACCGGCCTGTAGGTCCTCCCGCAACGCAAACATGGCCGCCTCGCGGCAGAGGTCCGCCAACTCAGCGCCCGTCCACCCCGCGGCCGCGTCGGCGACTGCGTCGAGCCGCACGTCGGACGAGAGCGGCACCGACCGCGTGTGCACCGCCAGCACCTATTCTCGGGAGCAACCGCAAGTCGCTCTCGGGGGATTCACCAGTTGCGACTCGCGCACGCCCCGCCGGCAGTGCCTGCCGACGGCCGGTGGCGTCGGGCGGCGGCACGTGCAGCACCTACTCCACAATCGCCACCCCAGCGCCGTGAGGTCGAAGGCGGCGCGGGCACCCGGCGCCGTCGCTGCACTGTTGCCTCGTCGAAGCGGCCCGGGCGCAGGAGCGCAGCGTCGAGCATGTCGAGCCGGTTAGTGGCGCCCAGCAGCACCACCTAATCGAGCGGATACTGGCGTGCAACTCGGCTGTGTCTCGGCTGTCTCCCAGCTGACTCTCGGCGCCACCTGATTGAGCGGCTCGACACCGTCCATCTCGTTGAGCAGCGTCGACAGCACGCGCAGCTGCACAGAGTCGCCCCCGCCGCCGCCCGCCCCGTCGCGCTTGCCCACGAGCGCGTCGATCTCGTCCAGGAAGAGGAGGGAGGGCGCCGTGGCGCGGCCCAGGTCGAAGAAGGCGCGGATCGCGCGCTCCGCCTCGCCCACGAACGGCGAGTAGATCTCCGCGCCGGAGAGGTAGTGGAAGGAGGCGCGTGTGGTCCCGGCGACGGCCCGCACGATGGTCGTCTTCGAGCAGCCGGGCGGGCCGTGCAGCAACACGCCGCGCGCCGGCGTGAGGCCCAGCCGGGCGAGGGCCTCGGGGTGCTCGAGCGGCCGCGTGACGGCGCGTGTGAGTCGCTCGACCAGATGCGGCAGCCCGCCCACGTCCGACCAGCCCAGGCGCTCCAGCCCGCGGCCTGACGATCGCTGGGGCCGCAGCGGCGAAGCGCACACGTTGCCGAGCGCGCGCCGCCAGTCGGCGGCCAACGGCCGGAACGCGCCGGAGGAGCGCGGAAGCGGTGCGGCGGGCTGCGCCGCGGAGCAGCGGCGGGCGGCGATCGCCAGCGCCTCGCGCCGCAGAGCGATGAGGTCGGCGGCGGTGAAGCCCGCGGTGGCTCGGGTCAAATCGTCAAGGAGCGCCGCGTCCGTCGCGCCAGCGGAAGGCCCGCCGCCTGCGGGCAGCCACTGCCGGAGCGTCTCTTGCCGGTGGCTCGAGGTCGGAGGCTCGAGGGGGACCTACTCGACAGACCAGCCACTCGACAGACTAGCCACTCGACAGACCAGCCATGAGAGGGACTCGGCACGCACAGCACTCGACTCACAGCGCCTCCCATCCAGCCTCGGCCACCTCCAGCCACCCATCCGCCATCCCTCGGCTACATCTCGGCTACACCTCGGCAATCTCCACTTATCATCTCGACTGCACCTCGGCTACAACTCATCTCGGCAACATCTCGGCAACATCTCGGCTACATCTCAACCTCCCACTCCAGCCGCCCCGGCCGCCGGAGCGCTGCGTCCACTGCCGCGGCCCGATTGGTCGCCGCGACGACAATCACGCGGCTCCAACCCTCGCCGACTGCGCCGCCGCCCGAGCTGCCATCTGCGCCGCCACCCGCGCCACTATCCGCGCCGCCACCCACCGGCCCGCCGCTGTCGCTTCCGCGCCTCCCCTTGCTGCTCCTCGCACTCGCGGAGCCGGGCCTGACAACTGTCGCAGCCGCGCGAGCTGGCCCGGGGGAAACGGCGCCGGTCACGGCCCCAGCCGCCCTCCCGACAGGACCGGGAGAGGAGGCAGCGACGCCAAACCCCGCCACTCCGGCAGCACTCCCGAAGCCGCCCGGCTTGGAGGAAGCGACGCCAAACCCCGCCGCTCCGGCAGCACTCCCGAAGCCGCCCGGCTTGGAGGAAGCGGCGCCAAACCCCACAACTGGTGCAACGCTCCCGAAACCTCTTGGCTTGGACGGAGCGGCACCAAAGCCCGCAGCCCCAGCGGTACCCCCGAAGCCGCCCGGCTTGGAGGGAGCGCCGCCACCAAACCCAGCCGCTCCACCACTCCCACAGCTGCCCGACGATGGAGCGGCGGCAATCCCCACCCCCCTTGACCCGATCGCAGCAGACCCTGCCGCCGCCCCCGGCCAAGCAGCCTCCGCCGGGCCGCTACTGCTGCTGCCGCCGCTGCGGCGCCTCGCGCCTCCCCTTGCGGTGGCGGCTGCGGGTCCGGCGGCGGCGGCCGCACGGGCTGCGGTGGCCGGCTGCGGAAGCTCGGTCGGCCGGAGCTTGAGCGGCGGCTCCTCGGGCCGCGCGTCAAGCAGATAGGCCATGGCGGCCACACATCGCGCCTGCTCGGCAGTCGTGCCTGCGACGGGGGAAGGGGCGGACGCGCCGGTGGCCCATCGGTGGCCGCGTGATTGTCTCTTGGGCGGCTGGTGTGGTGCAAGGCAGCTGCCGAGAGGCGCAAGCGTGGTGCGGAACGGTCGCGCGCCTGGAGCGCCGCGCGACGGGCAGAGCGTGTCCAGCTCGTCAACGAAGGCGATTGCGGGAACGCAAACGCCCGCGGCCTTGGACGCGGCCGCCGAATCGGCCGCCGCGGATGCGAAGAGGCCCCTCAGCCGCTCCGACGCGTCGGCGGCCCCGCCGGTGGCGGAAGAGGCAGGCGCTGCAGCAGAGGGCGACTCGTACACGCGGAGGGGGAGCTGGAAGGCGCGCGCGACCTACAGGAAAGTTCCTAGAAGCTTCCGAGAGGACTCGAGAAGCTCCTTGTGAGCTGGCAGGGCGCCGCGGTACCCGCTCGACAAGGCTCGTCTTGCCGCAGCCGGGAGGACCGTACAGAAGCAGGCCTACGCGTGGCGGGCGGCAGTCTCGTGCGGCGCCAGACTTCCTGCGGGCTGCTGAGGGGAGGGACGGGGCGGCGGGGAGGGACGGGCGCCGGACGGCGGCGCGAGCCGGCGCGCGCGCAAATGCGGCGCGTGTACGGTGGACAGCGCCACCATCGCGGCGAGCGTGCGGTACGCCTGCACCTGCCCCGGCAAGACCGCCGCCGGAGGCTGCTCTTTCGCGGCAGCGGCGCCAGAGGGTGTGCCGCCCCTCTGGGGGGTGGCGATGGCGAGACCGGCGCACGAGGCTGTGACGGCTGCAAGGGCGCTGTCCTCGGCAGCGCCAGCGGCGGGGGTGGGAGCGGCAGGAGCAACTGCGGCACTGCTGGTGGTGGCGGCGGCGGCGGCGGCGGCAGCGGCGGCCGCAGGCCCGGCTGGCGCACCCCTCTCGAGTGGCAGCGGCAAGTACAGGGAGGCGGGCGGGAGCGCCTACACACGCGCGGTCGAGGAGTGGTTGTCGGTGGTGGCCAGCCAGCGCGCCATCGCCTCAGGGCGGCGGAGCGTGCCGTCCACGCCTCGCATGCGCCGCTTCCGGCGGCGGAAGGCGGCGGCACGTGCACCGCCGTCGCCCCCGTGACGAGGACGGCGGGAGCACCTGCAGGGGCGACGCGCCGCACCGAGAGGGAGAGGGAGGCCCCCCCCTCCCGCAGAGTGAGTCGGCAGCCGCGCCGCACCAACCGCCTGAGGGGTTGGCGGCAGTGGGCTCGGGGCCAGTAGGCTTGGGCCAGAGGGCTTTGGGACGGGTGAGGGTCGAGGCGTGGGGCGAGGCGTGGGGCGGAGGGGCGAGGAGTGCGGCTGGGACCAGGGCCGAGGGCCGCACCCGAGCAGCGCGTTGCAGACGCGTAGGCGGAGGAGCGCCGTCGATCCGCCCAACGAGCCTGCGCCGCCGCCGCCGCCATCTCGCACAGCGGCAACGTCGAGCCAGAGATCCTCGGCGGCCGGCGGGCCGCCTCCGCCCGCCGCGTTCGCGCCTCCGACCGCCCTGCAGAGCCGGACCCGGGGACACGCGGATGCCGCAGCTCCTGCGGTGGAGGGGCAGCCCTCACTCTCGCTCAGCGCCGCACGGAGCGCCGAGACGTCGAACGATGGGTCGTCCGGTGCTGCGCTGCCCGCCGCCCCGCTCGCCGGCTCCGGCGAGGCGATCGCCAGCGGCAGTCGAGCTGAAGAGACAGCGGCGGTAGCGGTGGCACTGGGGCTGGACTCGCCGCCCAGGTCGGTCGCTGCGCCAGAGCCTGGCGCCGGAGGGGTGCACTCCATGGACAAATCTGCTGCCACCGCAACATCGCCGCCACCTGCCTCGTCGCTCGTCCCGCAGCGTCCACCCCACGGCGCAGCGGTGCAGAGGTACCCGGTGTCGCCGAGTAAATCGACGTGTAGCGCGTCGCCGTACCGAGCGCCGAGAGCGTGCAGCTGCCTGGGGGATAGGCGGCAGACGCCGGTGCCGCGGTCAAGCGGGAGCGGCGGACGCAGCGGCGCCGAGACCACCGGCGACGCCGGTGGAGCTCCTCGACGCGGTGTCCCGGTGCCTAGGCTCTTCCGGCGGCTGCGTGAGCCTGGCGTGTCCGCCATCCTGCGTGAAGCGACTGGTCGGACGAAGCGGCCGGATTTTTCTTTTCCTCATTCTCGCGTTCCGCTCGAAGTCACTTCCAGTGTGTCAGAACCGCCGATGGCGGACACGCCAGGCTCACGCAGCCGCCGGAAGAGCCTCGCGACAGGAGACGGCTCGAGCGACACACACACACACACACACACACACACGCACACACACACACACACACACACACACACACACACAAACACGACCTTGATCGTAAAAAAGAAATCAGCGTTAATTGTTGCGCCAAGGCACCACAGCCCGAGCAGCCGCGAGGAGCAGATAAGCCTCTCTCAGGATCACAGACACCCCTCTCAGGATCACAGCACCGGCGGGGGCGCGCCTCAGGATCAAGCACCCACGGCAGGGTCTGTGTGGGGATCAGCAGACCTTGAGGGGGCGCGCTGAGGATCATAGGCCTGAGAGGGGTGCTTAAAACGGACATCCCAAGCTAGGGCTGGGTCGAGGACAGACACGTCCCCACCTTTGCAGGATTTTGCAAAAGCGAGGGCGAGGGCGCATCGCGGCGCGGAGAAGGGCTGGGCACAGGCTGTCCCCACTCGTGGGGATCTCTCTCGCATAGGATACGCACTCGGCGGCACGAGGGCAAGGCTGGGCGTCCTATTTGTGCTCCCCCCCGGATCCCTGGCTCATCGCAGTCAGCTTCGTTTTGTTTTTTTGAGAGGAGTCGCCGGGGCCTGCCTTCGAGCCGTCTTTTTACCAGGTTGCAACCCTAGTTTCGCACTGTGCTGTGAACGCTGCTGGTTGGCGTCGGTTGCGCAGCACCCCGTCCCCATCCAGGTTGTTGGTTGCTGCCCCAGGTCCCGCACCATGTAGGTGCAATGCCCCGTTCTCTGGAACTGGATCATGCTTGTTCGGGTACGTGGTTCGCCCGTCCCTGTGTCCCGTGCACGTCGCCCGTCGGCAAAGCCGACGACCTAGGTGCAATGCACGCCGCTGGTTGTGGGGAGGACGTGCCGCTCGATGCTGCGGGCGGCGTTGACGTTCACAGCCGTTCACGAATTTGGTTGGCCCCAGCTCTTCGGCTCGCTCCGCTCGCCGGTGAGTTGGTTGGTTGCTGGCAGCACCCCAGCACCTGGGTGTCCTGAGAGCTGTTGGTTGCCGCTCGCAACACAGCAGAGTGCGAAACAGGGTTGCAACTAAAAAGACGGCGCAGTGAGGGTCGTCGCCCTTGAGGGACGTCGCCCTTGAGGGACGTCGCCCGGGAGGGACGTCGCCTGTGAGGGACGTCGCCCGTGAGGGATCTCGCCCGGGAGGGACGTCGCCCGGGAGGGACGTCGCCCGTGAGGGATCTCGCCTCAGGGACGTCGCCCGTGAGGGACGTCGCCCGTGAGGGACGTGAGGGATCTCGCCCGTAAGCGATGTCGCCCGTGAGGGATGTCGCCCAGTTGTGATGCAGCGAGAGTCCAAGATCTAGATGTCAGCAACTGAGCCTGTCAGGGTGTGACAGTAGAATTGTACGACTAAACTTTGCTGGCTCACACACATAATGAACAAAACATGACTGACTGAATCTCACACATAATGAACAAAACATGACTCACTGAATCTCGGCACTAAACATATTGAACAAAGACAGGCTGCACTAAGGCAGGAGCGCGAGCGGATTGTGTTCGTAGCGCCGGAGCGCCCGCCCCAAAATGCACTGCGTGCGGTCGTCGAAGTCGTTGGTGAATTCACGAGCCCTGTTCTGGGTCCTCCTCGCGGCGGGTGGTGTAGTAGAACATCTTGATGCCGGCCACGCGCCGATCGTGAAAAGGAACTCGAAGTCGTAGGTGCTAGTGTACTTCTTCAGGCGGTAGTACAGGAGCAGAATGGAGGAGCGCAGGTGGCGGGCCCACTGCTCGGTGGTCCAGGTCTGCGCACGACCGCCCCTTCTGGGTCGCTCAACACCGCCAAGAGCTCCGAGGGGCGAGGGAAAGAGAGGGCGTACTGCGTCAGGTCCAAATCACCAGCGCACGCAACGTTCTCCGCGAGGGGTTGCGCAACGCGCCGCTCCTTTAGACATGCCTTCCCTGTAACGCCCTCCGCTCGCTCCCTCACCCTTTGTGTCCTTTCTTTGTTCATTAGTGCCAGTGCGCCTTAGTCCTGTCCCAGTGTCGTGCGAGGGAGTTCTGCTGTGATCCTTTGTTCAGTACGCGAGCCGACTCATGAGTTGTGTGTTCACTAGCGATTTTGTTTGGAGCGTGCTTTTGCCGTTTGTTTGCAGGAGCGAGTTCTTTTAGATTGGTGTTCCGAGGGGGGGCGGCTCGCTGTCGCTCGCTCATTCCAAAAGCAACAGTGGCACGGACGTTCCCCGGCTTGCTTGCAGCAGTCGCCTTCGGCCCCACAAAAATGGATAGCGTCTCCGTCGCTGCTCGCGCGGAAGCGCTGCTGCAGCACGCCACTCTCTCGGAGCTCGGTGCCTCCACGTTGCACCTTCACAGCGCCCACGAGAAGGCGACGCGGCTGGGCGTGACCATGTCTCGCTGCAGTCGCAGAGGATCAAGGCCTCGTCCCATCCGTGTCACCGCGCTACCGGCCGCATAGGTCCTCTGAGCACGGCGTGGGCACGACGGTCTGTGCAGTCGAGCGGGGCAGCCGGGCTGAGCGGGCAGGGCTCATCGTGGGCGACCGGATCACCCGCGTGAGCGGCGTGCGAGTCGATAGTGCCGTGGACGTCAAGGATCCAACCGGCGCTCAAGCGGCGCTCCGAGAGCTTCCCAGACGCCTCCCGTGTCCCGTCCGCAGGACCGCATCAACGAACTCGCGGCGCGCCGTGAGCCGCTCGATCTGGAGGTGATTCGTGCTCGCCGGGTGCGGCAGGTGCCATTCTCAAGCCACATTGAGCGGCGCGTGGAGGACGCACATTACGCGCCGTGCACACGAGAGGCGGGATGAGGGCAGCGGCGGCAGCGCATCTCGTGCGGCTGGCCCGTGTGTATTGACCTAAATTGTGTATATATCCGCTCTCTCCGTGCCGTTTATCGTATTTAAAATTCGGCACTCGGCGCACCTCGCTGTCACACGAGGGGCCTCGAACTTCGCGCTACAGCACTTATCAGCTGGGGAGAAGGGGTTTCTCAGGGCTAGGGCCTCGAGAGGTTTTCAGGTGGAGAAGTTGCCTCGTGAGTGGAGCAGCGCCTGTGCGTGCACCTCGGCCGTGGCCTGAAGCACCTCGTGCACTTGCCTGCACCCCTGCGCCGCCGTGTGCAGCACCTCGTCCAGGCTCGCCAGCGGGATCCGCGCCTCGAGCTGCACGAGAGAGAGAGCGCCCGAGCGCGGCAGCAGCGCGACGACAGCCTCCGGGCAACCGCCGCCCTGGGGGGGGGGGGGGGGGCCTGGGCCCCATGGGGGGGGGGGAAACCAACACGCTCGGCACAACGCGGAGGAGGGGGGGCCCCCGGTCTCTCCATGCCCATGTCCCTCCCCGCGGGGTCTGGGGGGGGCCTCCCGCCCCCTGCCCGTTGAAATCCACAAGGCAAGCGCCCCCCCCGAGGCCGGGGGAACACCCCCAAAAAAACCCCTCCATCGGGATGCCTACAAAAAGGCTTTGAGGAGGTTCACAAAAACTTTCCCTGGGAAAAACGCCCTCCCTCCGTCGGGATGCCCGCGTCAAAAAAACCGAGGCTGGTCCCGTTTAAAAGGGCCGCCCGGGCGTCCCCCTCGGCCTGGGTGGGGGAAAAAGGGGCCATTTTGGGTTCTATGGCCCCCCCCCCCCCCCCCCCCCCTCCCACACAGCGGCGAGGCTGGTCTTGGGCTGCACGGGCAGTGGCTTGATCCATTTGAGTCTCTGTCGCTCACGCATCTCGCGCAGCCGCTGACCTGCAGCAGCGAGATGGCGATGTCGATCTGCGCACGCGGGTAGAGCTGCACCTGAACGATCTTCTCGAAGACCTGCCGCACGCACAGCGCGATCTCGGCCGCGTTCCGGTCGCCACGGCCCTGCGGCCGGTGCTGGCCGCCCGCAAACGGTAGCGCCGTAAACTCGCACGTCAGCAGCGCGGCGTCGTGGGACGCCTTGGCGCGCCTCGCCACCTCCCGCGGGCCGCTCACCCGTACGAGCACCTTGGTGCTGCCCTGCTCCAGGTATGCCGAGCCGTCCGCGCGCAGCGCACCCATGCGGCATCGTATCCGGCGCACCTCGCCCGCCCGGCGTCCGTCCACACGCAGCCCCTCCGGCGAGATGAACTCGTTGGCCGGACCCCCTTTCATCGTGCTCCTGTGCGGTGCCCGGTAGTCCGAGGCAAATGGCTCAGAAGAGCTTCAGAGCAGCGCAACAGCAGCAGAAGCGGAGCGGAGCCAGCAGCTCCAACCAAACCGAGAAAAACAATTTGGTTTTTTGTTTTTTCTTTTTGGAATTCTCGGCGCGGGGGCCCCAATGAAACAGTCGCCACTCCGCAGCACGGCAGAGGCGCCGTGGTCTCGCCCCCCCTCCCGCGTGGCCATCGCAACGCCTGCACGGCCTGACGCGACGCTCCATGTGATTGCTCCCGACGCCTTCGAGGCTGTAACGCGGCGGCGGGCTGGCGCCCTCGATGCTGCAACGCGGCGGCGGGACAATGGCGGGAGCAGTGGGACAGCTTCCCCTGCTCTGTCAGAGAGGCAGCAGCGGCACAAGAGCGGGAGGGCGGTCGGCGAGGGAGCGGGCACCATGCTGGCGTGGGAGGCGGAGAGGGGGCGGCTCCGCCTTGGCGCGGCGATCGAGAATCCCCGGAGGCCATCACCCCCGCGGCGACCCCCAAGGCCAGTAAAAGCTATTCGAGCGGCGCCATCTGCCTCGGACCGCCGGGCCATCGAGGCGTCGCGCCCGAGCAGCAGAGCACCGTACAGCCATCGCGTCACCGGGACGGCCCTTCCTCGGCCCGGCGACATTTTGGTCCGGGCTCAGTCTGCGCAGTGGCTCAGGACGACGCCCGCTCTTCTCGGCAGCGGCGGCGGTGGGACGCAGGTGCTGCGTCGCGCGTCTAGTTCTGCCTTGTTCGTTGGCTGGTCAGGCGGAGCCACTATGGCGACAGAGCGAGGCCGTAGACAACTGCCACCTTCTTGCCTAGAGGACTTGCGCGTGGACTTGCACTTGGCACCTGCGACTCTGCACCCGTGCGCACACCGACAGCGACGAATCTAAGGCCTGTGAACTGTTTGCATGTACACCTGCATGATTGTTTCCCATACGGCGCTGTCGGACGTACGTGCGCGGCGCGGGGCGAGCCGGGGCGCGGGGGTCCGGGGTGCGGGTCCCGCGTCCGCGTCCGGGGACCGGGGTGAATCACCGCCGTGTGCTCTCCACATGACCCTAAGGCTGCATACTCTCTGTGCATCTCGTGTCTCCTTTTTTGGTAACAGGCAACTGGTATCGTCATCTTGTGCTTCGCTGTTGTGTGTTTTTTACGTAAAACCGCGAGACGACAGATCGTCTCTCAGAGATCGTCAGCGGATCCGAGACGTGTCGTGCGAGAATAGTTTCGGCGGCTGGTCGCCGGAGAAACGTCCTAGCCTGTCCACCGCTGCTGGCCGTACCGCCGGTCTCTCGCCGCGCTCTCGGCGCCCCAGTGCTTGACGGCGCACCTACACGGGTCCATGACCTAGTCCACGACAGCGTCTAGCATGCTGTCGTGCCAAATTGACAGCGAACCTATCGCGGGCGAAGGCCAGAGCCGCATCCGCGTCGCCGCCTGTTCACGGAGAGGTATTCTGAGGTGTGGGTCGAGCCTCGAGTGCCGCGTCCGTGCCACAAGCGCCAATAAACGTGGGCTGAGGAGGCTTGAGGAAACGAATGACGACTTGTGCCGCGGCTCGCACGAGGGGCGATCTGATGAGGTAGGCGATGCACTGCAGCTGCGCGTCGAGCGGCGCAGCCTGCTCGCGCGCCCAGTCGACTCCCAGCCCTAGCTGCTTCCGCGACAGCGTCGGCAGCGTGATTGCTCGCATGTCGTAGAGCACCGAGAATGGACGCCGCCGTCGCAGCACCTTGGAGACGAAGGCGAGAGCGCCGATGACGTCGTCATCCGTCGCAGCCGAGCGCTCTGCGGTCACCACGAGGCGGGGAAGGGGCAGGTCTGCGTCTCGCTCGTACGACAGGGTTGCAAAGCCGGCGTTCAGTGGGCCGAGGACAGGCCGGCCTCCCGCAGCGCCGCTCGATACGTCATGTGTGCACCAACTCGACACGTAGCTGGAGGCTGCGACAAGAGCCGCGGCGGCAGCAGCCTGAGCCCACGGACGAGTGCGCCAGGCCATAGCCCCGGTTGTTTGTTAGATGATGTACGCTGGAGCCCTCAGCCGATTTGGCCTTGCGTTATTGGAAGCGGAATGAAAAAACAAACTCCTTGCCCAATGAGAAAGGCTAACGAAAAAAGAAAATCGGCCATTCTGCCACCTCAGCGCGCCGACAAGCCCGGCGTGTCCTTCCATCATCATGTTGGCCGCCCTGCTCGCCCTCGCTGCCGCTGCGACGACGCCCGAGGGCCTCGCGTGGCTCGATGAGAACAAGAACAAAGCTGGGGTTGTCGTTCTGCCCTCCGGCCTCCAATACAAGGTGCTCAAGGAGGCACCTGCTGGCGCCAAGTCGCCGCTGGTCGGAACGCCCTGCTCGTGCCACTACCGGGGCACGCTGATCGATGGGACAGAGTTTGACTCGTCGTACAAGCGCGGCCAGCCGACCACCTTTGCGCCCAACCAGGTCATCAAGGGCTGGACCGAGGCGATGCAGCTGATGGGTGAAGGCGACAAGTGGGAGCTCTACGTGCCATCAGAGCTCGCGTACGGCGACCGGCAGCGCGGGCAGCACATCACGCCCGGCGCGGTCCTTGTCTTCGAGATCGAGATCCTCGAGGTCAAGGGCGATTCCAAGCCGAAGGCGGCAGCCTGAGGGAAAACACACGCAGGCTGCCCCGAGCTTCGCTGGAGCCGTAGGCGGCAGTCCAGATCTCTGGGTCACGAATCCCCGTCCTCGGAGCGTCGCGTGCCTTCCGAACCATGGCACCGGCGGGATAAATATACGTTTTGCTGGCCCCCACCCGGCTCGCGGTTGGGGGTTGGCCGGGACCGGTTGGCTGCGGGTCCCGCCGGGTTTTTTAAATACATCTCGGTTAGTGGGCGTCACACCCACAAAGAAAATCACAAAGAACCCTTCACAATGATCGCACGGGCGGGGACCTGTTCCTTTTATCAAAATCTCCTAGTAGACGTGTGCGTTTTATTTATTTATTTTGGGGTGGCGGGTCGCACAGCATGGCGTCCCACGTGGCGCGGATGCACTCACGGCCGCCGCGGCCGTCGGCGCACGAGCCCTCTGCCGGTCGTCTCCGCCACCACTCGCGCAACAGCTGCTGCTGCCACAACGCGCTTGGGAGCGCCTCACCGGCCCTCGCAGCATCGGCAGCACTGCCCTCGGCCGCCTCGAGCTTCGCCGCCTCTGAGCCCGCCGAGGTTTCGGCGTCGCGCTCCTCCGCCGCCCCCACCGCGTCGGCCACGCGCGCCGCTCGCTCGACCGCGGCGCTCCACTCCGCGTCCTCGCTTGGCGCTAGCGGAGCGAAACCGCCCGCGCGTCGCACCTCGGCCGCCGACCTCCAGATCTCGCCAATCTCGCCCCAGAGCGGGCAGGCCAAGCAGCCGCCCAGCCGCCAGCGGCGACGGCATGACGCCCCCGCGCCATCTTCGCCGGCCGCCGGGCGGAGGGCGAGGGGCGGCGCCCGCCCGCCGTTTTCGAGGTAGAGCCGGGCGAGCAGCGCCTCCGGGGGAGGGGTCGCGCCGCCCTCCGCCTCTGGGAGCACGTCGGCGAGCCTAGAGAATGCCACACACCAACGTCTGCTGCTGTTGAGTACAGCAGAAGACCGTGTCGCCTCGAGCGGCAGGTGGAAGACGGGGGTGTGATTCGGCCGCATCTGGGTACGCGGCCGCAGCATGTCGCGCAGCATCGCACGCTTCGTCGGCAGGTCTCGCTCCGGCCCTGGCGTCCCCGCCGCCTCCTCGGTCGCGAGCGAGGGGGAGGCGTTCATCTCCATGAGCCAGACGTTCAGCTCGCTGTCGAGCATCAGGTCCACTCCGACCAACTCGAACTGCCCCGCCCACTGCGACGAGTACCGCAGCCCATGCGAGTTCAGCCCCGCCGCCGCCGCCGCCGCCAGCCGCGGCGCCGCCGCCGCCCACGTCAACAGCACGACCCTCTCGATGGCGCGGTGCAGCGCGGCGGGGTCGCGCCCGTGCACGCGCGCCTGTGGAAGTGTCGCAGACGCGTCGCCGACAAGCCGCTGGCGTGCCGCTGGCGCGCCGTGGGCGCGTGGTGGGGCAGGCGGCCGGTGGCGCAGGCAGCGCCGGAGGGCTGTGAGTGCCGGAAGTGCGCGGCGTCGAGCGGCGTTGAAGGGAGGGGAGACTCGGAAAGTGTCTCGGAAGTCTCGGAAGCGTCTCGCGCGCCGCAAACGCGAGCAGCGCGCTGAGCCGCCACCGGCGCGCGAGCGGCGGCAGCCGGAGGCCCAGCGCGAGCGCCGCCGCCTCCTCGGCCACCGACCCCTCATACGAGCTGCCGCCGCCAGTGCTCCGCCGCTCGGTGCTCGTCGCCGCGCGCGCAACCGCGGCCGCCGCCGCTGCTGCGGGGCCGACGCCGCGCTTGTTGACGGCGGCGTTGGTGAGGATGGCGAGCCGCTCGGTCGAGTCGCTCTCGTACTCGTCCGTCGCGAAGAGGGCGAAGCCCTCGGTGTACAAGTAGACGCGCAGCGGTCGGCTGCGGGAGGGAAGCGGCGGTGAGGGCGGTGAGGCTGGCGGCGGTAAGGGCGGCCGGCTGCGGGGAGGGAGGGCGGCGATGAGCGATGCGGGTGGCGGCGGCAAGGACGGCGGCGGCTTGGGCGGCAGGGCTAGGCGATGATCGCTATGTGAGGTCCGCCACGCGCGAGGGCAGCAGCCGCGAGGGGGGGTAGGGAGGGGGGTCGGTGGGGGCCTGCCTGCAGGTGAGCAGCGAGTAGAGGCGAAGAGAGAGCTGAACAGCCAAGTGGAAAGGGGACGGCTCGAGGGTGTGAGAGGCGGCGGCGAGCAAGGGTGGCGAGATGCAGCGGGGGCGTGGGATGGGGCGGGCGGAAAGAGGCGGTGGGGAGAGGGAGGTGAGGGGAGGGGAGGGTGGCAGCAGTGCGCCTTTCGGCCGCCGACGAGAAAAGCGGCGTCGACGTAGCGTTGCACGACGGCGTCCGGGTGCAGTGCGAGGAGAGCCCGCGCGTCGGAGCTCGCATTGAGCAGCTCCGCGGTGGTGGCGAGAGACACGCCCTAGGGTGGGCGACAGCCGGGTGGGTCGGCGGGTGTGGCGTCGGTCAGCAGACTAGTGTCAGCAGTGGGAGGAGGAGGAGGGTCGGGCAAGCGAGGCTGGGGACGGGAGAAGGGCGTCGTTGGGTCGTCCGGGAGGGCTCAGCGAGGCGCTCCCAGCCCTCTAGCCGCGTGCGTGGGGACGGGAAGCCGGAGGCGTCCACCTTGCCACGGTGGACGGCACGCTTGATCAGCCAGCGGCGCGGCGGCAGCAAAGCTCCCTCCGCTGGGCCGAGCAGCGCGCGCCAGTCGGGCCGGTGGCTGAACTCTCGCCACACGTACGACTCAGGCAGCAACCCGCTGCCGCCGCCGCCGCCGCTGCCGTCCCCGTCCCCATCCGCATGGCTCCGCAGCAGCGGCAGAACTGCGGCGGCCCTGGCGGCTTGGATGGTCTCCACGAGCCGCACCTTGTTTGCGATCGAGTAGACCCCCCAGCACCGCGAGACACGCTGGTGCGGGCTGAGCCGCCAGCGGCGCCAGTCAGGCGCACCACGCGAGTACCTGCCCGGCACACGCGGCGTGGACGCGGCGAGCAGAGTGGAGGCGAAGGCGTGCGCGGACAGAGGAGAGAGGTTGAGCGATGAGAGAGCGGGAAGTGTCTCCGAACCAGTTTGGCGCAATGACCACGTCTGGCAGCGCCGCGCCGCCCGCGCCGCGCAGAAGTGCGTCGGCGACACGCTGTGACGCTGCCCGCGCCAAGGCCAGGTCGCTGCCACGCTCGTCGAGCTCGCGCATCCCGGCAGCGCGCATTAGCGGCTGCATTTGGGTGAGCGCGTTCCATGCCATGGAGCGCCCTGTGGACATGTCAGAAACCGGACGATGGAGGCCGGGAGTGCATGCCGGTGAGTGGCAAGCGAAGTGTCTTGGAAGTGCCTCTCACCGCGCTTTGCTCGGTAGCCGTTGAAGAAGCTGGACGGGCGGCCGCCGGCGCAGTGCTCGCGCCAGAGCGTCAGCGACCAGCCTGCGGTGGCGCCGGCGTCGCAAGGCGGAAGAGCTGGCTGTCTGGGTGTCGGCTGGACGAGTGTGTGCTGCCACAGCACGACAGCGGCTACACCGCTCAGGCAAACCGCAGCCCCGACGACCAGCAAAAGGAGACCGTGGAGGGAGAGACACCGCCTCATTGGTCGTGTACAAGCGGCGCCCAGGTGGCGGAAGCAGTGGAGTACAAAAAAATTCTTTTTTTGGCATGGAGACGCGAAGCCACAGGTGCGCCCTCGGGCTTGCCCGCCTCCGGCTCGGCGACGGTGCAGCTCTCACGCCTTCTCGACCACGCGATCGAACGCCGGGACTGGTCGCCCCGCCGCGGATCCAAGTTTCATCGGAGGACGCCGCACAAAAGGCGCGCGGCAAGGCTTTGGCGTGTCGTTCGTTCGTTCGTTCGTTTGTTGCACTTGCACGTGCACGCACGCGCGCGTACGCGCGCACGCGTTCGCTCACGCGAAGGCGCGAAGCGCCGACCTGTCCTCGAACCTGCCAAAAGTGGCCGCTCGAAAGAGCTGCGTGCAGCTCCTGCCGCCACACATGGGCGATACTGTGCCTCTGCTGAAACCACACCCTATATACGAGGGAATACTAGGTACGCTTTACGCCCATCGCCGCGCGGCGGCGACGAGACGAACCAGCTCGCACTCGACTCCACCTCGAACAGGTATGCCTCCCTGGTAGGAGTAGACCATTACCAGTCTGACTGGTACCAACGCCCTCAGAGAGGCACCACTTCTCGGGGAG